TAATAATAATAATTGCAAGTTGAAAACACTGAACATGGGGACTGTATCGATTCCGCCCAACCCACCTGCACCCTGGCTTAGCCACAGGGCACACTGTGGGGTCCCCGTTCCATGGGGCTAACAGGTGCTGTGCTCCCTGCAGCTGCCCAGCTTCACAACAGAGGATCGGAACTAACTAACCCAGAGAAAGTTCCGAATTCACAGTTCCAATTCTATTTCTACTGAACGCAGGTCACTGCTGCACTGTTGTGAAGTTAAAAAAAAAAAAAAAAAAAATCGTACGCCAGCATTCTAAACTGGGACCCTTTGTAAGTGCAAAGAATTTTTTTGTATAATGACAAACCTGAGAGGTGTGGGATCCTGAATTTAAGGCTTGGATCACCCAAGATTCTAGTCCTTTGGGTTTTGTTTTATTTATGTTTGGTTTTGGTAGCAGGATTTGAACCCAGAGGCGTTTAACCACGGAGCCACGTCCGCAGCTCTTTTTATTACATTTTTATTTAGAGACAGAGTCTCCCTGAGTTGCTCAGGGCCTTGCTGAGTTGCTGAGGCTGGCTTTGAACCCGCGATCCTCCTGAGACGCTGGGATCGCAGGCGTGCACCCGGGTCTAGGTTTTTAAGTCTAGAAATGTTAGGTATCAAGCCAGGCACCGTCCAGGGCTCTGAAACAGGTCGGTGAGCGAGCACTGTCTGTACAGAACAGAGAGCCAGTGTGCTGGGCTTGTCCCCGACCTGGACTCTCCTTGTAGCACAAAACCAGCTTGAGACACTATGCACAGGAAAGAGCGAGGCTGTGTGGCACTGGAGTCTGCATGTCACAGTCTCCACGCGGCAAAGGACAGCATCTGCTCTGAGCTGTGCAGAAGCCTCCCGGGCTGAGGCTGGCCACTGCCTATAGCCCAGGGTCCCCACTGAGGTCCGCCCCCGCCCCCTGCTGCTGCTGGGCTCTGAGCGGGAGTTCATCAAGCCCAGGGGGGTCGGGTGTGTGGAGGTGGCGGGCATCTGGGGGCATCCCCAGGTCTGGAGGCCGCAGGAGGCCTGGGACCCCGATGCGCTGGCCCCGCCCCCTGGACGCACCCTCTTGTGGGCCTTGAGCTGCTCCTCCCCGTAGCGCAGCACGTCCTTGATGAGGTCCTGCAGCTTCCGCGTCAGCTCCAGGTGACACAGCGCCAGCTTGTCGGAGGAGACTCGGAAGACCTCCCAGAGCGGGGCGAAGGTCCTGGGGGCAGGCCGGGGTTACCCCCAGGGTCTGCCAGGACCCACCCCACTGAAGTCCCCGCACACAGGGCAATGGCCTCGGCTGCACATCTCCTGCGGGCCTGGCCCTGCGAAGCCTCGCTCATCTTCATTAATATCTATATTTTTTCATTTTCCAGGGTTGAGGACAGAACCCACAGCTTCCCATGCTAGGCGGGCGCTCGGCCACTGAGCCCCATTCTTAGTCCCAGAGCTACAACTTAAGTCCTGTACGGACCCAGGAGTCCTTCCTGGGCGAGGCACAGTCCCCTGGTCTCCAGGCCCCAGCTGATTATTCCCACTCGGTGAGACTCCAGGTGGGCAGACTAAGTCCCCTGTGGCCTTTGCCCCTCGCAGGGGCTCCTCCAGTGCTCCCCCCCACACCTTCTCTCCCTGCTGCCTCCGCCCCAGCCCTCCCCATCGGGTGGCCCCACAGCAACCACAAGGAACTTTGTGAATGCCCAGGGACCACATCACAGGTGGCTTGTGCCTGAGGTCCCTATGGCCTGTCCACCTCCACTCCCCTCTCCCCCATCATTCCCTCCTCACCCCCCAGGCAACCAGGTGACCCTCCTTGTTCTTCCTTGCACAGGCCATGTGTGCTGCTGCCTCAGGGCCTTTGCACTGGCGGGGCCACCTGCCTGGGTCTCTGGCCCTCAGACACTCCCAGGGCCAGCTCCTTCTGCACGTTAAGGCCCGGGCTCACTGCAGCTGAGTCTCCTCCAGAGGAAGTGCCCACCCTCTCACGATCCTACTTTGTTTCCTGCCTAGCACTTCTCACTCAGGGAAAGGACTTGGTTATGTGTGAGTTTAACTTGTGTCTCATGGGACATGGGACAAAGGTCCCATGGGCTGTAGTTATCTGGCACACAGAAGGTGCTCAGCA